TTACCGACTGCGGAATACTCATTCACACCCCATAAGCAATTTAGTAGCCAAGTTTTGCTCTGATACTGTTGAAAATTCAGTTTTTTTCTATTTGTCACGCCCCTACTGGGCGTAGAAACTTCATTTTTGGCCAGCTCATAGAACAGGCTAACAGTAATCTAGCTACGAAATTTGGATGTTTACGCGCGAAAATGAAAAAAGCAAAACGGTATTTGCTAATATGCCACGCCCCTAAATAGGCGTAACAATATTATTTGAGGAATCTGTAGAGGAGGTTGCTAGTAACTTACCTATCTAAATTTAAGGCTTCTAGCTCTTATACTTTAGGAGATATACATTTTTGCGGTCATCAATAGTGTCCAAAATATAGCTGACTCTGACAAATGACTATATCTTCAGGTCAGATTTGCTACACCCTTGGTGGGCGGAGACATATAATTTTTTCTTTATTTTTTTTTCATAACATTAGCTCACATGCAAAGTTTTAACGATCTAGCTTTAACACTCTAGGAGATATAGTGTTATTTGAAATACGCCTTTTGACAAAATAAGGGTGAAGAGGTTGATATAATGATGTAGGTAATTACAACAAAAACCGAAATTCTATAAGCTACATACATATGAAGCTACATTAAGAATTTGGCGACTCTAGCTCTAAAGATGTCGCAAATATAATTATAAATATAAAATATGAATATTTCCGATAATGTTTTTAATCGATACCAAAATAACGGGACAAGTTATGGATTCTGAATGAAAACTTAAAATGAGCCGGGATACAACCTAGGGAAACAAATTTCAAGTCGCTAGCTTTTATACCTTCTTAATCGACTAAGCTCATCGTTCCGATCAAAAATATATATACTTTTTAGGGTACCATGCCCCCTTCACCACCAATTTGTAAAAAACGTATTTCAATGTGCACACATCTTGGTCTTATGATGAAGTTCTCCTAGTCGAGCAGTCTAAACAAGACTTAAACAATTGCTATAAAGCTTAACAAATAAGTGTGTCAATAATTTAGCTCGTCACGGTATATATGTATGTACATATGTTTGTGTATTATACAAAGGATAACAATTTCGAATGGATGACCATTGTGAATGAATTAATGCTACCTCGTAAGCATGAGCATACTCACGCGCTCATGACTTGACATCAAGGATTCTCCAATGACCAAGAGATTGACGATATTCGATGACGACTCCGAACTCAAGAAGTCACGCAGCTTCCACTGTGACGAGCTGGAGACAACGACCACTCGACTGTCCGTCTGGGGGCCCAAAATCTTGCGTGCCATCACTGGCTCGGATAGGAACAGAATATAGCTCTTGCAGTTGGTATCTATGTGATTTTTGAAGTTGGGATTCCCCGGCTCGAAGTTGTCGTTGATGCTGCCATGATAAAACGTCATTGGCATGGTCTGCAGACAGACATATGTATGTATGTGTAAGGCAGGACAGTCGGGACAATAAATTTTGACGTCGAGTATGCGATCTTAATACTCACCTTAAACAGTTTATCCAAGAGATGCTCATTCGCCGTGGTCACCGTGCTGTCGTAGTAGATGATCGGCGGGCATTTGGCCAAATACTCTTTGGCTATTTTGGTGACGAGCTCCACTAACGAATTGGTCTGCTCCAAGCTATAGGACGGTAGAAATTTGTTGGCCAATAGCTCGGCGCGCGGCTTCGGGTTACCACGAAATGTCGCATCCACACGACGCCTAAAACGCGTCATATCACAGCTAGCATAGAGCTGGGGATTCAAGCGATGTCGTTCGATCAGACGAGAGCTGACACACTGCCGGCGGGAATCCTCAGATGCGACTTCTGGGCTGGCAGCTAGCAGCCAGAGCACACACGTACTCCACAACAACATGTTGCCAATGTGGGCGCTGTCCTTGGTGGCGCCTGCCTTTTATACGGCAGTCTGTTCCTATTCCGGCACGCGAGAGGTCGCCGCTAAATCGAATTATATGCATTTCTGATTGGATTGCAGGTGTGACTCCTGCCAGTTGGAGCTTCCCAGCTGTCGTTGCTGTTGTTGGTTATTAATATATCGAATCTGATTGCTGGCGGCTCGTTAGTTGTTTTCACTTTCGTACCACACTTTTATTGCTTTTCCCCTTTACACACCACCCATCTGCCACGGTCCAGTTAAAGATAACGCTCGAACTATTTATTATACCCTGAACCCATTGAAAATGGGAAATCAAGGTATAATGGTTTTGTT